ATTAAAATACATGTATTGTATTCCGTCTTTTTGGTGTGCTGCTATGAATTGTATGACGGTATACGGGTTTCATCAAAATAGTCCATGTCTATGATATTCCGCCTATTGTTGATTATACTCCCCTTTAACTGCATGAGCTCTTGTCGTTGTCTTTTATCTTCTCGGCCAGCATAATCCGAATGAGAGTGTTAGGCAACAAGTCGAAAAGCACCAGTACTACATTTACCCAGCCTCTGAAGGCTTCCCAATTGGCATATCGCTAGAGAAGATGTTAACAGTAGCATCCGCAATGGTTCAATTTCACAATTCAGCTGCTTCGAAGTGAAACTAAACCGAAGAGTGTATTGTAACCATGTTAAATGAGATACTAAGTTCCACATCCCTGATGTTCCTTAAAATTCCTTGCTTGAAATAGAGTGTACGTTTGCAAGATCACTACCAGTAAAGTTGCCGTATGGTTAACTCTAAGCTTCCATAGGGACGCTCCGGGTTATTGATGAGTGAATCCTTGATTGATGCTAGATTAAGATTGGTGACACTGCTGTAAGGTGAATGTCAACAGACCATTCCTTGATACTGATTGAAAAAGTCTATATATCTATCTCGGAATACCGTACTGTACTCATTTTGATGCCATATCCAATTGGTACAGTCAAATGATGAGCTGCTATGTGTTAAGAAATAGGCATCACACACGGTCAAGGTTGCCCTCCTTCGTGTCATATCAAAACCCAGTGTTGAAGAGAGTCGACAATCGATCTCGGTCTCAACTGATGGCCTTCACTTACTTACTCATAATAACTATTTACTCTGGCTCTACCGTGACTCCCGTGAGGAGATAGACAGTCAAACACGTATTCAACTGCGGCGAATTCTGCGTAGGTAGTCTCCATGGCGGGGGTTTCATAGCAACTTTGTGCCCAGGTCGCTGAGACTAGAATATCGAACTACCAAGATGTGTATAATTCAACATCATACACCTTAATACGTCAATACTTATCCACAAACTCATGTAGGCTCTCGTGCTATAATCCCCCCTGCGTAATTAGAGCGAAACTCTCGTTGCCTCTGTCTGAAATCCATCGTCGTAATACGATGCTTGCCAAATTTCCAGAACTTCAAAAGTGTCAATGCGGTAATCAAATTTCTGACAAAGGTGGCATACATCTATTAAAGGGGTCGTCAGCTAGCCAACGTATAACTTACTTGAGATGCTCTCGTCATCGCCAGTTGACAGTCAATGTATCGACATTGCTGTCTGCAAGTTTTATAAAAGCTTGTAAAACAATCCACGGAGAGTACTGTGAGTTACTCGATGAATATTCATATTATAGTCAAGGTTGCTCCGTAGACTTTAGTTTTCAAAGCAGCTCCTTCCACACGCCCCTTGATCAATGCGTCAAGCTTAGCTGACACGGCGAACACAATATAGGTTTAAATGAAAACTCGCTGTGAGAACAACCCAGGCAACAGATCTCGCACAATAGGCGATACCCCTAGGTAGCATACAAAGCTCTGCCGTTGGTCTAATATCAAGATCCAAGCAACTCGCAACATTCGAGACTAATATGCGTCAAAATATGGCGCTAGCTTAGGTCTTATTATCATTTATACTAGGTAGATACATCTTCTGGATTCCGGATCTAAGTTATTCAGCATTCAGGACAGCTCCATGCCTGCGACGACGAGAAATGTGTCAGTCACGCTGTCTTCTTGGATACACTGATCGGAAGTTAAAATACTCGGTAGCGCCAGTACACTCTCACTAAAATGGAAAGCCTTACTTTTAAGCTTTCCATTCTCAATACGCTGTAAACCGAGCATTTTAATTTGAAAAAAATTGCGTGGGCGGTAGCGGTATATACCTACCTAGGTAGGTAGTACTGCAATTACGTTGTAGTTGATAAATTAAATAAGGTTTGATTAATGACTTTTTTTTTTTTTGTGATTAATGAGAAGACATTGTACTTTTATAGAGTTTTAGAGGTAATTGAGTAAAACTTTTAAGCTTTACCTTTCTTTTTCTAAGTAAAAGTATGGCGGTATGGTGAAGCTTTCCAGTTACCTAGATGTGCAAGTTAAAGATACTTTCTCATTTCCAACATCCGATAAGGTGGAAATCATATTCCTTTTTTGACTTTACATGATAAGATCTATAATACTTTAATGAGAGAAATGCGTTAGAATAGAAGATTCAATAGATACTTAGTTTTTATTCAAGTCGTAGCGTGCCGGGGCTTAGACAGAAGAAGGTAATATTGTACAGACATGAAGCCCGGACAGACCTTAACCTGGTTAAGACAGTGGAGCGCTGTGTATACTAAAGACGGCCCCACCAAGAGCCAGGGTCCAGCGCAAGCTCCCGCATCACTATTTACTTACCTACCTAAGGCAACTAAACCGTCCGATAATCACAAGCTTCCCTTCGCGCAATCCATCCAAACTCAACCATCAACCCTGAACAACGACGTTGTCTCTACGCAATAGTCCTGACGCAACACCAACTAATATCCTTACAATCCACAAGAGCGAAAGCATCTCACCACATAACCCACCAGAACCCTACCATCCCCATCCCCATCTCACCACCAAACACCTCCCAACCTACGTACACAAACATGGTCGATCGCGCACCGCTCCCGACCCTCCGGCCCAGCACAACCCGCATAACGCGCGCAGCGACGAGCGCGACGGGTGCCCGACGCAATCTATTCCAGAGCCAGCTGACGCGCCGTCCAACGCCGATCGAGACCGCCAAATTCGGCGTGGAGAATATTCCTCGCCGCAACAATAGCACCAATAATCACAATGACAACAACAACAACAACAACAACAACAACAATACGTCGATGACTACTTCATCCTCGACTAATTCTGCCGAGACACTACGCCTGGACCTCGACGCCTTGTCCGAAACGTCTGAGATCGTGATCCGAGACCAAAATGGCGAGTTCGAGATCGAGGACCCGCCTACGCCGCCGCTTGAGGACCCGGACGATGAGGTCGCTCTTGATGATGCGCAGGAGAATGAACGTACGCTAATCATCTACCTTTTATTACACTAAGTTCTTTAGTGAAGAGTCATATGCTTATGATTTATGTGTCCATATAGGCGAAAGACAGAGATTGGCGGAGGCCGTTCGACATCACCAGATGAACCACACGCGCATGCTAGTGCAACCTGAAGGTAAGTGACGTAATAAGCTTGTACAAAGTGTATTGGGCTGACAATGAAAGCAGAAGTACTCGAGTTACTGAAGGCTAGCAACAGGGCGAAAACAGCCGCATTGGCTGAAGACAATTGGATGTACGAAGCTGAAGAACCACCTCGCGTGCATTGAACAGGGCGGAAAGAATACTGTCCGTCATAATCTCTATGCTGGCTATCTACACTAGAGTTGTCCAATGTGCATATTGATTAATCCAACCCCTCCGCTGCCGGCATCGTGGTCGATGACGGAGCCTTGACGGCGGGCTTCTTCGCACTCCCACCTGCAGGAGCTCCGCCACCAAAGAAGCCACTCATCATGTCCATCAGGGGGTTGCCCTGCCGGGGTTTCGTGATGCCGAAATAGATCTCGGAAATTATCTCTAACGCCTCGTTCCATACCTCGAGTTCTCTCAGATGACCGGCATATTTTGCCGTCAGCTGCCTGTATAGTTCTGGGTTGCCTCTCGGAATGGCGAGCAACAGTAGGCCGAGGAAGTTGAGGAGCGGTATACTGGGGAACACACGCAAATCAGCACTATTGCTGCTCACGTCTTGGGTCCCGAGTTGTGCTCCCCTGTCGTCGCCCAGTGCGCTGGTGAAGACTTGGTAGGCTGTGTTGGCGGCTCGGACGTTCGCCGTTATTAGGTAGGGCAGCACCGCCCGGCCGGCGTATTGGGCGGCCGTGTGTGCCTCGTCCTCCTTGAACCACTCGTATTCCATGCGAGCCAACACTTCGGCGGAATCCTTGGTGCCCAGCAGCAGGTGCTTTTCGGCGTCGTAAGCCTCGTGCTCTTCTGCGTATAAGGAGCCGGCAACGTGGTGGAGTTCAGGGTCGCCGGCGGGGTATTCGCCGTATTTCGAGGACCATCTGTAGACAGCCTTCTGTGTTAGCACATTCTCGTAGCTCTTCCTAGCTAGAGTCCAGTTCAAGTGGCCGAATAGAAACGGGGTCTTGAACCTACGCTATTATCTCCCCAATGTACTTTTTGCGCGTGGGCTCCTCGCTGTCGAACAGACGCAGGCACGTGAGCAGCTTGCCCTTGGTGGCGGGGTCGGGTTTCAGCTCGGTCAGCTTGTAGGTGTCGACGAGGAGAACGCAGAGGTCGCCGCCACTGCCACCCTGTCCGGCTTTCAGTAGCGATAGGGCGACATTGTAAAGGATGTCGACGGCGGCAGTCCAGTTGGCGGCCTTGGTGTAGCGTGCGGCGACGACGCGGGTCTGCTGCTGAGCTTCGTAGAACTGCCCCTCGCTGATTCGCTGCTGCAGCCGCGCGATGATCTTCTCGATTTTGTCGCCGCCTTTGCTCATGGTGGGCTGGTGGGTTGGCTGGCGGTTATAGTAGTGATGACTCTAGTTGTGCAATTGTCTCGTGTTTGGTGGATGATGGATTACTAAGTTGGTAGTGTAGATAAAAATAAAAGGTATAATGCACACGGGCTGATATTCGTGTTAATCACGAGTGTGCATTGAGCTGTAGGTGATCAAGTGTTATTCATAGTGGACCAGAGGCCCCCGTCAAAGCGCTTGTCATTTCGATCTGTGACGATGGAGAGGGATACCTAGCTGGTCAGTGGTGGACATCTCACTGAGTGCTAGTAACAGGGCGGCTTTACCGAATTGGGCTTAGGTATATCACCCACTAGCTTGCCACCAATAGAAACTGCGCTAGTGCGGAGGTCTCACATACTAAGTAAGCGCGCCTCCTCAAGTAACGAGGCTATAAGACCAATTATTCCCTGACTACCCCAACAACAAAGACTGGACGAATTCGTAAACGATTCGTTGAAAGCTGTGATGGTGTAATGGTAACATCCAAGCTTCCCAGTGACATCATGCTAGTCTGCTTGGGCCCCGAGTTCGATTCTCGGTCACAGCATCACTTTTTGCGCTCTCGATGAGTTGGAACTTGATATAAACCCGGAGTGATACATTTTTGCGGTTAGCCACACGGTACGTACCCTACGTACTAGATACCCCGCTTCACCTGGCCGCTAGCCACAATGCATCGCTCTTTTCTTTTATATGTCTCATTTTAAACGAGGGCCATCTAGCGTTATACATAGGTATGTGACTGTGGCAGGTACGACGGACAGACAGTGCCCTCATAGTGGATGTCTTGTAGCCTAGGTACTCTATTACTTTTACAACTTGCAATACAACTTCGCTTCACATCAATTGGTAAGAGCCGTTCAGCCTTCGAATTAATACCTACCTTTTGATTGTCCCACTGCGGTTGAGTCGTTAGAATGTCATCTATTCCCGTATTCACCTATTTCTCCCGTTAATTCGAAATGGAGCGTTATCTCCTGGGTTGAGCTAAGTTCTCCCTGTTTGTACGATTTTAAACATTCGGTTTGCTAACTTGCTCTCAAGCTCACGATGGGATATACAGACCCCTTTTTGTTATTTGGTTTATCATATTTAGCTGCGGCCAACGAATATAGAAATGTTACTTAATTAAAAAGCTACGGAGGCTGTGACAGCCAATAATACAGCGTTGTCCTGGATTGACGAGTTCTCCAGTTATAACAAGGGCTGGTTTCAGGGCTTGGAATCGGCTCTATTCAGAATACAATAATCTGTTATGGCTGCCTAAGACCTTGATCATTCGAATTCTCTTCCGTTCAGGTGGCTTGTGTCAGGGGTATTAGTTCCAGGGTGAATAGAAGCCTTAAAGCAGTCACATAGCAGGTAGGTATGAGGGGTCAGTAGCTATAGGTAGGTGTAGGTTGGACAATTGGCCCCTGGCCTTATAATATCTAAGGGGGGGGAACCCCCTTATATATACCCATAGGCCACTATCTCGACTAATGCACCTGACAGCTTGGCTACGAATCTATATACAACTCTGGGCACTAGGGTAAATCTCCGGCCTCGGCACCTATGTCTCAGTTAATCGAGAGCTGAATAGCCTCACGTAAGGCATCAGGAAGAATATCAGTAATAGACGGGAAGACGAGTTTTAGTGCGTGTAACGCGTTCAGAGGGTCTAAGACTTGCAGCCTCATATTCGCTACGTGCGACACTTAAGGTGAATTAAAGGCTTTATACATAAAATAGTTTAATATTATCTTATTCTACACTTCTATAAACTTTTGTTTGATTATTTAAATGTTTATAGTTAAAAATATAGTTTGAATTGGAAGGTGTAGGTAGCTGGGGAGCGTGAAACCTGTTGTTATAAAGAAACAACGGGTGCCTGTGGATGTGGTAACTGATGAACTCTGGCTACCAGGACACTTGGCAGTTTGGAACTGGTTTAAATATCCAGCTCCCTATCTATCAGAGCGGCCTTGCCAACAAGGATCGCTGGGCTGCTATTGCGTTGGCTAGTCGTGCGACAAGAGAAAGCGCCGATCCTGAAGTTGCCACGCTTTATCGTGCAGCTAACTAGGCACAGCTCGACAAAGCTCGAGTCCTTGCGATTGCTTCAGGAAATAACCCGATGGCCATTTCAACAGAGTTGGAGAAACCTTCCAGCGACATGCGGCCCTGCGAGACAAACTCTGGCGAACACCCGACCCTTCGCAGGGAGACTTACCAACGATGGCTTGCGTGTGTAGAAACTGTGGAGTGACCCCCTGGCTAGACAAATATCCAACTTATTCGAATTTCGGAGATGGATATTTGGCTAGTGCTTATACACATTGTAAAATTTGTCCCAAGAACAGAACGACATTTGTCCCTGTGGATAAAAGTATCCCCTATAAGCCGTACCATGTCGCCCATAAAGCCTTCAAGAAAAGAAAGCCGAAGGAGGCGGCGGACGAGGGTGCAGATAAGGGCAGTGCACCAGTTTTGACGGGTAATCAGTTCGCCGAGTCCGGTCTTCGTATAGCCACGAGAACATTTTGAACATTGTTCCTGAACCCGGTCTTTGCTTCTACATGGCTGGCATAAGCTTCTGACCCTCTCACTGCACCGACGGTCGGACGATATATGAGAGTGCCACCTGCTACCTCACAGGATGTCGCACGTCATAGTTTCTTTCTGTTCGGCTGAGGAGGGAGTGGCACATCATCAGCTTTTTGTGCCAGGGAGAGGTGGGGGTGGTAGAGTGTGGGTTAGCACGATGGAGTGGGCAGGGAGGGAGAGGCATATCAGTGCTGCGTGCGTGTCTTGGGTACACTCGGAGGAAGAGGCACATCAGTGCTGCGTGCTAGGCTTCGGAGCAATTGGTATACATTGCACGGAAAGGCATATTTCCATGCTATTGGAGGACCTCTGTGAGTGACCATGTTTGGAAACGAAAGAAAATTTAGTGCTGATGTTGACAGAAACAACTTTGCTTCCCACAGGTTGGCCGACACCAACTGTTATCAGCTTCTCGACATCCGCGTCTGGAATTTCGGTCATTCGTTTCATCTCGTCAAATTGAAGAATATCACTGTCATCCAAAGGAATCTTCAGCGGCAGCTAGTGACCATATAGTTTGACAAGCTTTTACTCCCCGTGCGCAGAGTTGAGAATCGACTTGCACCTTAGAATCGCTGCGAGCCTCTCTATCAGTGTACTCTTGGTTTCACCCTATCCATGCAGGGCTCACTAGGTTTCGAGTCTAAACAAATCATTCTCTTACTTCAATCCATCCGAAGACGTCATGGTCGGTAATGATGCACCCGCAAAGTCTCTCTTCTCCGTTCACTTTCGTTACGCGTGAGGGTTCAAGATACAGATGTTTGCACGCAAATGCTCGATTCCCCGAGTCATTCTTCAGTGCAGGCCCTGTAACACCATTACGTCGGCACCCTTACACATAAACGTTGAGGTCGTTAAGTCCTCGGTATAGTCGGCTCCATTCGCGTCGTTGTTCATTCCCAAGCAGGTCTTCTTACATCGAGGGAAAACAACATCAATACTCGAAACCATCTGACTCCTACCTTTCGGCCGGTATCTTGAGATCTCTCCACAAGATACCTACCTAGATATGATATATATTCCACACTCTGTCGAGCTTCTGTCTTTCTGATGTCTTTCGAAAAGGCTTTCAACCTATAACAAGAGCTTGAAAATGTACTCAACTTAACTACAATCTGCCAGGGGGCACTAGGTCACTGACCATGAGAAGTCTTCTGGGTCTTCTCTGGATATTCTGAGACTATACATACAACACATCGGGCTTCCTAACCGCTGACCCCCGTTAGCCTTCGCTAGTATGTCTTACATCAAGCAAGGACTAAAAAGCCTCATATCTAACACCCACCAATATCACCGAGACTTGCGTACAATGCGCCTCGACGCGCACTACGAATGCAACGGCTTGAGACCTCCGTATAATCCGACTTGCTGCATCACCGCATACAATGTATCGGTTACATAACAAGGCGATCTCACCTACGGCCTGCCAGCTTCCCTGCAGATCGTACAGGCAATAAAAACAGCTTTTGGTTCACCTTAAACTTACTGCCCAGTCAGCTTTGTATGTCGTACACGCTTCAAAAATCCCTTGTGCACCGCCTCCAGGTTGAGATTTCCAGAATACTTCTATTACGCATCCCTTAATCAAGAGCCAAGAACTCAGTGCTCAGACAAGATCTACAAGATCTCAAGTTTCTTTGACTCATCAGGCTATAATCTTGACTGCATTGGTGCCGTCTCTTCTAAAGGCAGAAATGCTGTAGGGAAGATCTACGCGAACTACGCGATAGATTTTATGATGATCGGATCGTAGAACTATAAACACTTCTATACAGAGGTCCAAACTCGAAACCATGGCCTGACCTGGTACCAACCTTCGCCTCGAAGTTCTGATCCTGCATCTGAGAACTATGCGTCCTCAACTAGCTCTCCAACCATCCACTGTTATGAGAGTCTGTTAGATATTCCCCCGCTCGCCTGATATCAAATCAGAGACACTGGGCAGCATCTGATTTATCCTCGCATTGTTCACCGGCTTGCAACTTTTCGCTTCGGCATACATTACAGAGAAATCTATAAAGACAGTTCCAAGGCCCATTCTGCCCTCTACAATCAACCAGCCTGACTATTAGCAATGCAACTCTCGTCAGATCACAGCAGATGACAGAGGTTTAGAACAAGGATTGGAGGTAGACTCGAATCAGCAATGATCTGCTATGGGCGACTAGGTCCTTGGCCATTCGGGAGCCTTCTGATTCACCTTCATGGTCTCATCATTCATTACCACAGGGGCACAAGTGTACTCCGCGTTATGGCGTACGGACAAGAGCAAGGTGTTCCTTACTACACAGACTTCCATACTTTAACCAATCCTTCTAGACCTCCCCTAGTTGATGGCCGTTGGCACTAGGAAGCAGCGGCCTACCCCTGGCCCCTTCAGAGAAGGGCGTATGATAATCCAATAGAGATTCTACCTGTTAAGTGGATAAATATCTGATTAGCCGTATCTTGTTAGATTTAAGACATGCGTATCCTACTTTTCCACTTTTAAAGTGACGGAGGGATGTTGGGGTTCAAAGGGATAGGGAATTGCCCGAATAGGAAATAGTGCCTCTGAATACGGCGTATTCACCCGCTCCCTGCTTCTGTATAGCCACGAGCCGCTCACATAACAAGCCAGGACAGTTGTTTGAGGTGAGATGTAAGTATATAAACCAGTGATCGAATTCCCAGCATATCTTTGTATCTTGTCGTACAGCACCTTTTCCCAGCATTACGTCGAGTCTTGTCTGTCTTCGAAGTCGCAAGCATTTTACATTTCGAAACCATGTCTGCTCGTTCCCTAGTATCATCCGCTCCAAGAGCTATGAAGAGTGAGATGCAACCGCTTATACACACGCATCCCAATTCATATACATCATCGCTTCCGATGAGATTTCCAGGAAAATTCAATGCATGCATAATCAGACACTACAGCATCGAGTCGAGAAGCAGTCTCATCACCGCATCCCGCCTCCT